TTCAATTTAGGCAGCTTGAATTCGTGGTAGAGCATTTGGTACACACGTAGGCCATTGTCAGACCCTAATGCACTAGTAAGGCCCTGAGCTCGAAATTCATTTTGGGGAATAGGTGCACTCAGGTGCACCCAGCCTAAAATATTCGGTGCACAAAAAACTTTTTGGATGCACTATGTAAGATAAGTAGAATGTCAGTAAAAACTAATTATGTTTCATTTCTAAAGAAAAGTACTATAGGTAGTATTACAATGATTTTATTATTTTTCTGACACTTAGATGTTAATAATATGCTGTATACTATGATACATTTGACATTTTTATAAACGTAAACCTACGACAATATTTGGGTGCACTGATGCACCCACAGAAAAAAATTAGGTGCACAACTCCAAATTTGGGTGCACATGAATAAAGTATTTCAAGGCCTGAAGGCTGCTACCGGTATATACACCGGTACCAGGGTGTCTACTTAACCTGAGGCCATACAGCACAAAATGTTGTCCATCAACAAGATACCCAAAACACCCTCAGATACCCACAACACACGCACAACAGATAAGGGCACTGTTCTACAAATAGGTTTCTTTAAAACAACCAATCGATATTTGGAAAAAAAACTGAGATAGAATCAAACCTTCTATTGCATACATTTTACTTGGGCTGTCTTGTGTTTGTGCAAGTTTTTTTAATGGCTTTGAGACACCTGGATGTGCTCTAGTGAGCAGCATGCTTAAGTGGTGACCTCATAATTACGGGGTGAGTCAGGGTGAGGTTACTGTCAGGCTTGTCAGGAATCTTCCAGGTCATCGGAAGTTTCCCACCTGGCCAAAAAAACTGCCACGTCTCTTACACTGTTACCAGCTACATTACTCTGGTCTCCCCAGAAACTCTTAGGGGAGAGGTGTGTCCTAATTTGATGTTGATGAAAAATCAGTGAATTTTCATGGAAATACTAAGAGAAAACCCTAAATTTTGCTTCATTGCTTGGGGAGAGTCCTGTTACCCAAGTTAGTGTTTTTCCATGCTTATAGTCATAAGATGTACAAAGAAAAGTTGGCTACTGCTATCAATAAAGGTTGATGTATTTATTACTTTAGGATGCCATTTGATTAAAAATGTCATTAAATCAACTTGCATTACTATCAAATATAATCAAATGAAATATTGGTTACAATACATGTATGTAAAATGCCAAGGTGGGAAAATGAAGGTTGATTATATTCTGTATTACTTAATAAAGCATATTGTCAATGTGTACATGTAGATATACATGAATGAACACACCAAGCTGACCAACAACCTAAAAGTGGAAGCAGAACCTTTCCTGATGCTTTTGTTGTTCTGGGTGTGTTCCTCTGATTGGGGACCTTCACCCCTATGGAGTAATTCTATATTCACAACTCGTATGACTCTTGAATGTTGTATTGTCTTTGCAAACAAAAGACTTGTGGTGATAGTCACTGAATCAGGGTTTCATATGATACACAGTAAATTGAACAAGCAATAATGTGTATAACTGCACAGCTCCAATTTTACCTGCACTAAACCTGCATATGCAGGTGGTATTTCAAGCCCTGATATGTGTGCATAGACTAATTTTTCTCACCATATAGAACTAATATGTTCTAGATATGATATATTGGTGCTATAACATAGAACCATTAATACATCATGTCCTATACCAGTATTACCGGTATTATGTATAGTTGTTATACTATAATGGTGATATTTTGTAAAAGATGCATGGATGGAAGAGTTTGATTTTATCTGTGCTTTGAACCCAAATTGTTCAACATGGCTCCTGTGTCATCACGGTAAAAGCAACGAAGCTGAAAATTGGAACAAGCATGTGTTTTGATAAAGTCAACCATGTATAATTGCTGCAATTAGTTTCCCAATGAGCCACCTAATTGATTCAATGTGTGAAAATAGCACAAGTAGTAGCCCTACTAGTGGGTAAAATTCAGTGTTAAGCTCTGTACCAGGCTTATTTGTACAAGTTAATTGTTGTGGTTTACTTGAAAAAGGTATTTATAACCCATTTCCTGCACCTGTTCACTGAGTAGGTTAATCTTTAACCAAACTAGAGCAAGAAGCTAAATGGCAGCACTACAATATGTAAACAAGGCACAAAGACGTACCTGCTATGCTGATATAATGTGATAGGGGGAGCTTTTTTTTAAGTTTACAAAGTCTCAAAAGCAAGCACTACTATTTTGAGCGTTTTGTGTTACACTGACGTGGCCTACATTTTCATGGGGACTTAATTGTGGTAGGAGGGAAATAATGTTTCCGTGTTCTTTAAATAAAATTTTTGTTGTCGAAACTGTTCTTGAGTACAATAGTAATACATTAGAAATGCATATTTGATAGAGAGGTTGCTGTGAAAATAAAACCACCGTGAATATTTCATGATTTACAGTAACTGATCAACTGTTATACCCGCTGGCAAAAGTTTACATCAGATCTATAATTCATGATGATCCCTCAGTGTTGTTATAGCAATGACAACAAAGCAAGATTAACATTTAATGGTCCTTGGGCCTTAGAAAAAATGTTGTGTTTCCCGACCGACTCTAGAAAAAACTGCCAACCCTAGCCTTTTTTTTTTGTGGATCCCTGCAAGGGACATAAATTTTTTTGGCTGACGGACCTTTTCTAGCTCCATGATCTGACACTTGAGTGATAAAATGTTGGACAATCAGTTTTCCAACATTGACATTGAAGACATAAGTATCCTCATCATGCCAGTTTTTTCCTGATTTTTTTCAGGACTGAAACAGGAAACACAACATTTTTTTTCCTAGGCTTTAGTCGATCACATAGTATGTACTGTAGAACAATACAGCTTATTTTGTATAGCACTATCAGACCCTGGGTACCAGTACTATGGCATCCCTGGAGGGTATGCAGTATGGATTTTTCCAGGCCCACAGCTGTTATCAGTAAGAAGAAAATAGGTCCAAATTGCTCGCTTTCAAAAGGACCTGTTTGTCTGCAGTTGAAAGCACTCAATACAAAATGATGACTGATGACTCGGAAGGATTACTCTCCTTTGATAACCAGTTTCATATCCTGATTAAGCCACACCAATTTAATTTGTTGGTTTTTGGATTCTTCAGAAAAAATATAAAGCGACAGGGCGAAAAAATAAAAATAAAAACAGGTCAAATGCTACAATAGGAGCCATTGACTATGAAGTATGATTGAGTCAACTTAAAAGGCTGGGTTAATATTTAAACAATGAATTTTGAAACTTTTACTCAAACCGCTGCATTGATAAATGGAAAAACTGTAGGAACTAGGAAGAAAACGACTTTCCTCAACTGTTGGGGGCAAAGTATGAGCATTTTTTAGTTGATTCAGAATCAGAATTTTTTTTGCAGATCAGAAAAAAATTAAGAGGCAAATCCGAGAACCAGCATATTAAATTGGTGTGGCCTAAAGAAAAACAAAAATTATTATATTCAAATAAAGGGAAATCCTTTTTTAACAAAGTTGTAACAAGATTTTCCATCATATCAGGAAAGTTTATTTATTGAGTGGCAAATATCACAAAAATTGTGGTCAATCAGTACACTATAAGCCATAAAGTATGATTTATTTATAATATAAGGCAGTAATTTATCAGTTTATTAATATTTACTATATCGCTTGGAGAGTACATATAGTTAGAATTAAGTGTTACATTCCATGTAAATAGTTTATGACATGTGGTTCCCTGCTTTGATTGATCTTACTGTTATGGAGTTCTATAGCGATACCATCTGGGAATCCATGACATATTGGTTTTTATGTCCTTTGTTTAATGTTCCGTACAACTGTGATTTGTCCCCAAATTGGTGTCATATTTACATTTATATAAAACCAATTGTTTATTAGAAAGGCAGTATATATAGATATTTTGCATTGCCTGAAATGAAATAGAATTCTGAATGCTAAATGTATGAATTTTGGTAGGAAATCTTAGGTTAAGTATTTTGTTTTAAAAAAAAAATGTTGTCATTTTTGAAAGAAACTGTATGCTTTAAGCATTTTGTTTTTCCAAATAATTCTGAGAAGCATGTTTCAATCAATAAATATTGATTGAAAAGACCCTTAATCTTTAGAAGAGCTCATCTTTTATTTTCGACAAGGTCTCTTAGGTATTAAGGCTTCATCTTTTAAATACATCAAGAGTCCACACTTTGCCTAGCACAATGTATTAAATTAGGATAACTGATGATATGATAAAATGTATCACTAACTTTACCAAATCTAAAATGTTTTACATGTATATGTATCTCAAGCTTTGAATTGTAAACTTTAATTATCCTGGCATAAAAGATTTTATATCATATTGCATCTTTACTTTGCTTATATAATTAAGCTTTAACAAATAAGATGAAGCTTTAACAAATAAGATTTGTCCCAAAAGCATGATAAGTGCCATTGTCTGTCAATCAAGCATATCACAGTGTTGTTAAGGTTGTTATAAGTTTGTTTGTTTTGGCAAGAATGTTACATTTGTTAAGTTTATTTTTTTTCACGCTATATGTAAATGTACGAACTTCAGTATAAACATAACTTAACTGAAATGTACCTTTTCTGGACAAAAAGTAGGGCGATTCTGCAGACGCCAACGTTCACATAGTGTGCCGATCACGCAATGTCAAATCGTGCTTACTTAAACTGTGCGACCCGGGCTTACCATTGAAAACCAGATTAACTGTGGGCAGTGGAATGTAAACAACCCATACAGGGTGGTCCCATGAATTCCTGTTTACCATATTGCTCCCTTGTTCACGTACAAACTTCCGGTGTAACATAATAGTACAGGTATGATATGGTATACGCAACACAATGCGTTGGGATAACTTTCTGGTGAGAAAAGTTGGAAATTTGAAGCCTTTTATTTTCTGGCATTGCCCTTGACCACCCCCGTGTTGTAGGAAAATAGTTCAACCCTAAACAAATCCTGTTTGGAAAAGATACAAAAGGGGCGGCAGCCTAAGTGAATAGAGCATAGCGAGTGGAGTCATGTTCCAGAAAATGGCGTTTGAAGTTTGCTCGGTCGGAGCGGTTTCTCAAAATCTTCTCAAGTTCGTTAATGTTTCCTGTAATTAACTGCCGACCAGTTTCAAGGTCATGTTTTTGAACACCCGCGACTCGTGGTGGCAAGGGGAAAAGCAGCGTGGGAAATTCAACACCGCTCTAGAGGTGAGAACAGGGGTGGGGTCGGTTTAAAATCCAAACTTTTTTCCAGCGAAGACTCCATGAATTTCCAAGGAACACAGTGAGCCTTTGCTGCATTATGTCTCCTTCCATCCCCTTACCTGGCATGCTACATCAATTTTTCATGCCCCTGGAGTCTAGAACCAATCAGGCAAGAGACGTTGGTAATTGCAGGGGTCACAGAAAATCCTGGCTTGTATTTGGATCATGGAGGCAAGTGCAGGAGTGTTGTAAAATAACTGAGCTGTGAGGAAGGCCCCTGCGTGCCATCCCCTTCTGTGCCTCACAACTCCAAGTTACACTGTGATCAGTCCGTGGACCATGGCGGCTGGGAGGTTGGCTGGTACTAGGGCGGCCCAGTGGCATCCTCTGGTGGTGAAAGAGGTACTTCAGCTTGAGTTGCCCCACATGTCCCTTGTATACGGTGCCCTTTATGCAACAATAGCAGGCCAGGACGTGATTTACTACTGGGGGTTTCACAATGTCTGCCCATCTCAGCAATAACATGTATCATCTTGTATGTACCTGTGTGTTTTATAATGTAGGTTTGGGATCGGTACGATTGCATAGAAAGCTTCACCATATGCTTTTTTATTTTTTTTTTATTTAGCTAGTAGTAGTGCAACTGTTACCACGGTTTTATGTATATTATATATATATCATCACTCATCAGAATATGATTTATTACTAGGATTTAACAGTGTATCCATCCATGTCACCAATGGCTTGTATTTTATCTAATATTCATTTTATAGCTTTGGATTGCAACAATAATTATGGTATGATTAGAAAGTTCCACCTTGCTTGTTTAGTATATAGCTACCTTTCCTTATATATCATAGGTAAATAAAACAAATATTCCCTAAACCAGGAAGAGTTATATATGAATTTACAATTTTTCTATTGCAGTAAATACATATTATCTTAAGTACCAATATGGCTTAAATATATTGCCTTTTTAGAATTTAGCTGCCGGTAGTACAGAAATTTGAATGTTTTTCTTATAATGCATGGATTCCTGATTTGTTATGGATCCCAAAATAGTAGCTTCAATCAGGAAATCCATTCTCTTTCATGTTATTCATGACGGACATTCTGTAGCCAATACGTCCGTGAAGGACAGCTTTCAATCTGTTAGCATCCATTCCAACATGAATATTGCCGATCAATGTAGGAAACCCTCATTTAGGCCATTGGAAAGGTCATCTGTTTTGTAGCAGGTGGTTACAGCAGCGGCTGCCTCAGTGCACCTGTTGTCTCAACATTCCCAAAAGACATTTTTGCTTTGTCTCTTAAAATGACCTTCCTCGTTAAGGATCCGGTTCCTAATTTGTCTGGCACGTCAATATCATGTTCATACATGTCTCATATTAATTGGACGTACGGCCGCTATGATTTATGGTTGATAATTAGGGTGGTAAAATTTGTCGATGATCCATAACACCAGTATGGTCATTTATTGCTGCGCAAGCAAGAAGTGTAATTTTCTGGTCTGGTGCATTTACAATTAGCTCACACGTAGATCGTTATGTTCTAAGTACTGTTAATCTTGAAATGGTTTTGGTGGTTTTATGTCTTGAAGATTTTGATTTTGAAGTGCAAAAATCCATCCTCATGCTAAGTTGTACAGGTTAGGTGCAGGTAGACATCCAGTAATACCTGCTCAACCTTGAATGTCATCTGCCGAAACCTGCAGGCTGCAGATTTTTTTTTTTTTTTCATGGCAGACATATCATCCTTGGTCGCCCATCATATCAATTGTTAGGCCTAGGAAAAAACATGTTGCGTTTTCTGTTTCTCGACCGACCCTAGAAAAAATTCCGACCCTAGCCTTTCTTTTGTGTGGACCCCTGCAAAAAAAAAAAAACGAAAAAAGAAGGTAATCCCTACCCACAGACCCTAATTTGTCAGGATTCAAACAGGAAACACAATGTGTTGTTTCCTTGGCCTTGCTGTTATTTGCCTGTTTGCTGTTTTTTGTTGGGAGAATAAGCTTTGGATACAGGTACTAGTATAGGACCTTAGGCATGCCTTATGATTTTGGGGAAATACTGGTACTAGTGGCAAGGTGATTTATGCACCTCAACCCTCCAAATCTATTCATACGGTAGTTAGAAACATAACTCCTAATACTGAAGGTGAAGTGCACTTGTATGTGCTTTAGAAACTGTCAAAGAAATAATAGCCCACTCTATCTTGGTTAGCTGGCTACATTGTGGTGTGCTTTGAACCTGACATAATGTTTGCACCTGTCAGATGTTGAGTACATTTTGTTTGCATCTGCATTCAGAATATATCAGATTCTACATGACTTGATATATATACTAGCTACTACCTTACTCCCATATTTTGTTAGGACCCAAAGCTTAACTGTTGGTTCTATGGGCTTGGATTGTGCTAAAAATGATTTTATTTATAATTGTAAATTCGTTTATTTTTGCTATGACCTAATTTGGTAGTAGAAGGGGATAGGAGCTCTTCAACTTCATAGTTGAAATAAATTCTATAGTGCAGTAGTGATATATTAACGAAACATATATATATATTTGCAGTGTTATGAATTTGCAGTTTAGAAAATAAAACCAAGCGAATGTTTCAGGATTCACGGTATGTTTCCTGTGACCTGCCCACCCTTTCATCCCTGGTGGATGTTATGGTGTGTGGTCACAGGTGACTCTTGACACAGTAGTTGAAGTGCTCTTATGCAACTGGCATGCAGAACAACCACACAACAAACATGCATGCATGGACAGACATCAAATACACTCACTACAAATCTATTTTAAGTTTATACACCTCGTATTTTATTATAGTCCACTGTTGTAACATGTAATACAGTACTACCGGTAAGAAAAAAGACCTTGAAGTTTTATTATTGTCACATGTAGTCATCAGAGGCTAAATGTTACGGTAAGGCCACACCAGTTTAATTTGTTGGTTCATGGATTCGCCCGCTTCATTTTTTTCTGATTTGCAAAATTTTTAGGGTGACTTCTCCTCCCCAAATTCATGACACTGTAAACATGCACTTCCAAGTATGATAGTACTTGTTCTGCTAGTACTGAACTACAAAATTATTTGAACCATAAACTTAAAACACTATATGGAAATCTCCAGTTCCCTTGTACAATAATTGTACTGTGAAATAAAACCATTGTGAAAATACATGTAGATGTATTTAGTTTCTTACTGTACCGCTCTACCATCAGAGATATCAGATTTCACAGTCATACAGGATCATGTTTCACAAGTGACAAGTGGTCTTCTGATCCACCTGTTACGATGGTGATGATATAGATGTGAGAGACATTTAAATCCACCTGTCACCTGTACAAGCAACACAATCTCTGTTTTTATTCCACAAAACTCCAACGATGCATTGGTGACCATTTTCAGTAGAAGGTTCTGAGTAAAGCAGGGCCTTGTACTAAAAGTTGCTAAAATATGCTGTGTCGCCGTCTTAGCTGCAGCCATCAAAAAGAGGTTTGTTGGTCACTGCTATAGGGTTTTAGCCTGGGTACCATCCGAATTTTGCTCTGCTACTCCAGAAAAAATCACAGAGCAAAGCAAAATCTGGATGGTACCCAGGATAAAACTGATAGGGTTTAACCAATGGCTTAATATATATTCTGGATCCCTGCTTGTTGGGCAACCTTGACAAAGTTGTACAGACCAACTTGCTTGGAAAGTTGGGGTCCAGGTCTTAATGAAGACTTACAGAACATAATGAAAGACTCAGAAACTGCAGATTGGACAAGTTGTCTCTACTGTATGACTGATATATATTTAAAAGATGATAACTGTGAATATCCCATTTTTTCCCCTGTAGGGTGACCATGTGTGGCTGGAGGCTGGGAATGGGGAGTTCTCGGTGCCGGTGGGAGCCAAGGTCAAGTTGTCAGACACAGGTCAAGTACAAGTTCTGGACGATGAAGGAAAGGTGAGTTTCAGAATCAGACTTGTATATATCTAGTGTCACATTGTAGATCATGGTTGTGGTATGAAATAAAGAAAAACACATGCAATAGACCTGTTCACCTTTAAGGGATTGCAAGAACTGCTTACGTCACAGGGGGACATTTCTAATAAAACGCCATTCTAGAACCCAGAATTTGAACGCAGCTTTCGCTTGCGGTGTCCCCCCTGGCAGATCACTGTAATGGTCTGCATTCTGCTCTCAGATAACAGAATCAGCTATCTGGTGAGATTGTGTGGTTAAAAACCGTCTTGCATTCTTCAAGGTAGCATCATTCAGACAAGAGAAAACTGTACAACGCTAAACATGGTGCTACTAGGAACTTTTTTTTAATCAAAATTTTTGTATGTGCTGAAAGGCAAAGAAACTAGTGCAGGCAATACTGTGTTTTGAATATTTCAGAGAAAAGTATTTTAAAACCCTGGTGATGTTTTCTGACTGGCCTGGCAAACAACAATATTATTTTCAATAGGCTAGGGATGTAATTTCTCACAATGATTATTCTAAATTTAGGCCACACCAATTTAATTTCTTGGTTAACGGATTTTTCTAGGAAAATAATGGAGCGGGCGGGCGAAAAAAAAAAAAAAATAAAAACAGGCCTAGGCATCCTATTATGGCCCAAAATGGTACGATAGGAGCCATGAAGTCAACACACCAGGCTGGTTCAAAAATTTTAAAACAAGGAATTTTGAACTTTTAATGATACCATTGCATTGAAAGATGGAATAATTGTAACAACTATTATGAAAAGGACTGTTTTAAACTGTT